CCTTTCTATTTTTCTTCAAGTGTTCAATCATTTTTGAGTATTTTTTGTTTCCTGTAAAATTTCGATAAAATTATTTGTTTTTGAGATAATTCGAAAAGTACTTGTTATTGTTTGATGCCTATGCGGCTTACGGTAATCTCATAATGTTCACATACTCCTATTTATTTCGTCGAAATTGGAAGAGGGCGTAACTTTTTACGTACGAAAAGGTAAATATGGACATACCGGGTGCTCAGAGCACTTTGTCAAGAATTATGATTAATTCCCATAAATCTTCCATTGGCTGAATGAAGTTGATTACTAATAAAGATAAATTATGATATTTTGCGATAGTATCTATAATTTTTCACTATCGTTATATTACAATAAGTTATTCATATCTTGTCAGTCATTTTTATGCTAATGAATTCGTTCCTTAATAAAACGTATCTATTTTCTAGGAAAGTTGTAGATTATATCTTGCAACAACGCCTAATACTTCGAGTCCGTCCACACCACTCAAAATACTGACAGGCAAAACAAGAGGAAGGAGCCATGGGTGTCGGCTTCATTCTGTTCTGACCGATGACAGTAAATTAGGAAGGATAGTATCATGAATGTAGCCGATAGTGATTCAATGATTCAATGATGTTTTCGTTTATATATAGGATCGAGCCGAGGATCGAGCTCTATTCGAGAGATTTCAATGCATAAATAACAAAACCATAACCTGTCAGAATGCTCTGAGTGCTCTGAGTGCATTTCTGGTTATATATGATTTTTTTTACCAGTTTTGCATCTTCTTCTATTTTTTGCATTCGTTAGCTATTTGTAGCGGTTCTATATAGAAATTCTATATTATATTATAGAGAACAACTGTTTGAGTTGATTGATGATTTATTTATTTGACAAGTTGTCTAGCTATTGTCATCTACCAATATACCCGTGATCATAATCACAGTTAATACAATCAACTTTACTACATATTCGCGGGGCTATTCGTTAGCTATTCGCTAGCTATATTTTTCACCATCAGCAATTTTCTGACTAGATTCAGAATGTACGTCATAGTTTGCCGCCCCGAAAATTGAAAATTGCTTTAATTTGAAAATTAAAACGACTTGGACTTTATCGGTCGCTAATCTGTACAGCGTGGACATTAAACTGGAGAGTTCCGAACTTATTTTACGAAAATTCATCTGAAGAAAACTTTTCCATTTTTTAAATATGAAAAAATAATCAGGGTGTTCCATTTGAAAAAACATTTGGGTTATATCTGAATGATAACAGGTTATTTTGAAAATCTGACTGCTCCACTGGATTCTAAGTGAAAAAATGTGTAGAAGGCAGTTGTTACTTTTTCGATAAGTTGAAAGAGGAATGAGATACAGGAGGGGTCCCAAAATGCAATATTTTCAATTCCAACCTGTATCTCAAAAACGAAGCGAGTTATGAAAATTTTGTTTGCGGTATCGTGGGTTTCAAAAAAAGTCATCGCGAAAACCGCAAATCTCTATCTTTGAAAATAAGTGAGATATCCCGTAATGACATCGGAACTGGGACAGCCTGTACAGGAATTTTTGAAAAATGTCAAGCGAGCTGCTTTGGCGAATAGGTGATCAGACGAAAAAAAAACTGCTCCAACTACCCTCTTAGTTCTTACTTGGAAGAACCAGCTTTAGATTTTTTTGAGACTTTCGAGGAAACTTGTACGACTTTCCAGGAAGCATCTGAAATTTCTGAGAAGGTAGCTACAACCTTTGAAAATGCAACGGAAACGAAACAATGCTATTTCAAGCTACTGAACAGGAAGAATCAACCAGGAGAAGATATCTGGTTATACAGGGTGTATCTAAATAACACCGAAAAAATTCAAGGAGTGATTCTTTGATGATAATTAAGGTGGGTATTTGGTATACATTTTTATGAGAAACCTCTCCCCAGAAAAATTACACCCTTCTGAATATAAAGAAAAGCTAGACACGAAACTAGATAAATATTATTTATGAATAAAACTATACATTTTGGAATGTTTCCAACTCTGAATGATGCTTAGATATTTTTCCTTACAACTTTTTTTGAAAGAAAATTTCTCTTTTTAAATAACATTGCAAAAGCTCAATTTTTCGAAAAAACTTTCAGAGATAAAAAAGTTGCTGAATGAATTGGCCTTTCCAGCCATGTTTTTTCTTTAGATTTTTATCCAAAACAAAGTTGTAAGAAAAAATATCTAAGGGATTGAATATTTCAAACTCTCCTTAGCATACTTCAGGGTTGAAAACATTTCAAAATGCGTAGTTTTATTGACAAATAATATTTACCAAGTTTCGTGTCTTCAGCTTCATATAACCATGTTTTTCTTAATCTTTAGAGGGGTGTAACCAAGGGTGTAACTTTTCGTAAAGTTAAGATACGGACATGAGAGCCGTTTTGACCGATAATGAATAATTTCGTCACAAAAAAATCCTAAAGTTGAAAAATCTCTGTAATCATTTCCGCTAGACCCCAAGTGTGATGCATTGATTGAATCAGCTCTTCAGGGGGAATTTAAAAATACAATGAAAAATAGGGTGTTTAAAAAAAATCGAATAGTGCACTGTAGATCATTTGTTCCGAGCACCCTGTATTTTCTGATGTAGCGGAAAAAACTTAATCGAAAATCATTTAAGATGACATCTCAAATTTTGAAATCGGTTCAAAAATAACTGAGCTAGAGGCGGGGGGGCGTTTATGGTGAATCACCCTGTACATCAACGAGATCACCAAACTTTTGCTATAAGGTGAATGGAGAAGGTGAATTTAATGGATAACAGTACCATACCATGAGCAAGTTCCGGGAAAATTTGAAGAAGATTGAAGTAAAGCAGTTTATGGTTGGAGCTATGGATGGACCATCGTGACAATAGTATGGGTGGAAATCGAGGTGGAAATTGTATTATTTTTGAAAACTATATGAGGTAAAGGTACCTGATGAAATGGGATTTATAGATGGTACATAAATATTAGAATAGCATTATAATAATTATTGACGATTATATAATACATTCTGCTTCATTTATGATTGTAAATTGCTGTATTTTCAAAAATAAAATAATTTGAATGATTTGAATAGCCATTTTAGACATCAGAAACTCGTCAGACACTTAATACTGGGTGGTTGAATAATATTTCTATGATAGGTAATTCCTTAGAGGAGAACTTCTTCATTGTAGCCCTATATTCGGTCGGTCTACAAACTTTTCACACCGGGATTAGAAGAGCCACTTTAGTTTAGTTCATGAATGTATTCAAAAATATGTTTTGCATTCAAAGATTGACTTATAATGAACAATGGTGGATAGCTTGGTGGATAGTAAATATAACTATAGATTCATAATCACAGATTTGCACAGATTGGTGATTATATCTTTCAATTACAAAACTTTCCACAATAATTAGCAAGATGAACACTCTGTTCATCAGAACTCATTAAATATCTTGAAAAACTCAAAAAAATAATCCACCACAAAAACACAAAATGGTATTAAATTTTCAATAGGAGGGCACATTCTGTAATCTAAACTAATTTTAATTTGTCAAAAAAAAAGGAAACTGTGAAGGAAGAATGAGTCAGAAAAAATTAAGTCAGAAAAAAAATTAAGTCAGAAAAGAATGTCAGAAAAGGATCATTCAGAATTATTGTTTTGAATATGGTAGGCCATAGAAAAAATCTGATAACAGGCATGATATATATTATCCATTCTATTGTTATTCCATTTCACTGCACTACATTTTTCACAATTTCAAGTATGTTGCAAATATTCCCATATTGAAAAAGGTCTTTTCTTCTGTAACAAAAAATACAACAGCTTCATACTATTCAAATTCTAGCTCCATAGTTCATTAATTTAGAATTTTTTCAATATCCCATGGGTGAGTAGGTTTTTATCTAGGTGATAAAAATTCAAATTTGATTTTTACTGTATTAGGCCAGTACTTCATGAAAACAATATAGATGATTGAATTTGGATATTCCAATTTAAACAAATCAATAACTATTATAGGTGTATACTTTTATGAGGTACCTCGATTCTTAGATTAGTAGGTGAATAGAATGTTTCATTAAAAAAGGTAGTAAATTGTCAAGTAAATTGTGAACAGGTTTCATATCATCTAACATTGTTTCATGGAAAAACGAGTGGAAAAAATAATTTGAAAAGTAACTTGAATAACTATGAATATTATATTTTCATTATTGCATATTAGTTAACCAGTGACTACTGGGCATAGAATGTATCTGAAAAATAGGTATCTACCTGACTGTGTGCGAGGCTGTGTGTAGGTGATCCAAAAGTTGTCTTGGATATTATTCACCTACCACTTTAAATCACATTCATCCATAAAAAAAGAAATACATCTAGGGTAGGTACACCAATGACAAAAATGATGTTGAAAATGAATCAACTGAACTGAACCGAACCTCAAAATAAACACTACTCTGGACACTTCTCAATGTTATCAAAATTAATTTTTCTACATTCATGCAAAAAGCAGAACTTTATTGAACTATATTTAGTGGAAAAAGAAGTTCTTTATTGCACTTAGTGCAATAAAGTTTTTATTGCACTCATCTGTCATTCTACTTCAACATGCTGTCATCATGACAAACATTTTTTATATTGCAACTGTGGTTATAGAAACGTCATATTATATTCATATTGAAAACTGCACCAATTGTTCATTCACTTTCAACATTGAGGGTAAAAATAAAGTTTGAGTTACATTGTTCCTAACTTATTAGTTCCTGTTTCAATGCAATGCCGCACCTCAATAAATCATTTTTTGCTTTTTGCATGAATGTAGAAAAAATGTTGTATGCAACTCCTGCAAAAATTGTTTATTGCACTTGGCCTAACAGCCTCGTCGGACAATTTCACGTCGAGTGCAATAAACATTCACTTTTTGCACTTGTTGCATAAATAACTATTTTAATTTTTCTTTGAGCAACAGCATAATAAATATAAAAATTATAAAATTCTTACCTTGAGTAATTCTCGAAAATAAGGGCTACAGGCAGACAACACTACTCGATGTGCTTTCAAACTTTTTCCATCACAAGCTAACGTTACATCTACGAAGTCCTCATCATCACGGAGGTTTTCGAAGGCTGATGTTATGCTGCTTTGATAATTGTTCCAACGCAGACAGAAATGTTGTGTATCTACCATCGTAAAAAATATTCACCTGCAAGAAAATGCCCAAGATGATTCACTTCGAAAATCACAATCACATCTAGAATGAGCACTACAGGAAACATTTGGATTCAGCAATAAATTACGGAAGTTCTAATCAGTTAAGTTCGCGAGAAAATCTAGATAATCTTTTTATTCATTCATTATAAATTAGTATATTGGTCATACAACCCGATTGGAGTAATATAATTTCAAAAGAAAAAGATTTGGAGACCGACGATAATATGAGGTTATGTTCCTCCATCGGTTTCTCCTATTTTCGCAAAATCTAGCAGTAACTAATCGCATTTTGTTTAAAATTCAACGTAAATAGGCAAAACAAACTCACTTGAACCATGGTAGTCAACATTCAGATCGGATAAAAGTTCTAAAATGCCTGTTTATGCAATGCGATAATATTTATTTACGCAAATCCTATGCAGTATGCACAATAATTCTTGATAATTCATCACCACTCAATGAAAATAAAAATAGAATGGAATGGACATGGAAGCATGGAACATGGAACACAAACACCAAACACAGAAAAATGTCACGGAAACATCAAAATACTGAAAAAATGCGTCAAATAGATCATAGGTGGACGCCTGAACGGAGCGACTAGTTTTCTATACTGCTAGGTTCGTGTCTTCGCTAGACTATTCCGTAAAAATTGATTGGTGAGTGGCTGACTGCGTGACTCGGTGTAGCAACATGGCTCTATCTATGCGAAAAAACCGGAAAATCCTAGGAGATGAAAGTGAAAGGACTCGGCTCGACGCTGAACGTCGGAATGTCGCTGGTCTCGTACTTATAAACAGCGCCGGTGTATCTAGCAGCTGGTCAATTTGTTTTGTTTATAAAATAACGCGTTATGTATCATGATGTTCTCATCCGCAGGCATAGTCTTTCATATCATAAGGTACCTACCTATTCGAAATGATGACTTGTGGTATATAATAATAATTATAAAAATTCTTATAGGTAGGTCGTGTACTTATATAGCTAGGTATCAATAATTGAAGCTAATTCAAGACGTCGATGACTTGACAAACATTCAATTGTTGCCGGGAGAGCAAGAGGTATTTATTTATTTAAAATCATATCTAGATTTTCATTAAAAAACAGCGAAACAGCTCATTCGAGTAGAAATAGTGGTATAAAACACCGAAAAGTTAATTTACCTGAGATAATTTTTATTTGTCATTGAGGTTTTTTGTGTTTTTTCGTTGAATCCATTTTTCACGAGAATGACATTTTTGCCATGGTTCGCGCGTGCACACAGATGTTTTCAAGGCACTCTACGAAAACCCGCCAAATACAAACTGTCCAAATAGTGTAGGTAGTCGGTAAATAATAAGAATTGTGAGACACACCGCGAACTGTGCACGAACCGTCAACCGTCAGATCATCACGACATTCAGGCGAATATTAAAAATTCAGGCGCGCAAAAAATGACGAGGCCCGCTTATTCTTTATTGGGACATGGCTATGAGACATCTGCTGTAATAAGCTAGCACTAAAAAATAGTGCGTGTGCCGCCTACCCCTCCCGCATCGAATGAAAATGCGCAGAATAACGAGTCGGTACAGACCCGCAATTAAAAATATCAAAATAAAAAAATCGAACACCAAATCTGTGCTGTGTTGTACGACAGCCAGTGTGATTTTGCAACTCGCGGCCTTCTAGATAGAGGGTTATTCTTGTCATCCCGGTACTCCTTGGGGTTTGATGGAGAACTTTCACCCGGACGTCTCATGTCCTACTTGAACGTTTATTATCAATGTGGGGGGATGCAAGGAAAAGGAAAATATCTCAATAGGACGGAAAAAGAAGTGGCCGGCATTGGCGTAGGGGTGCGAGGGGATTAGGTACTATTTCATCGAAATATATTGGTATAAACCTCCATATACAGGGTGTTTTATATGTAGGAGGCACTGCAAGAAAAAGCGATGTGAGAGAAGAGAGAAGAATGACATTAAAGTTGAAAATTTGAATGGAATTACCTTTATTGTGTGATTATTCGTTATAAAATAAATCAGTCTGCTATATATATGAGACGTAATTCGAAAAATTGATATGAGCTGGTGTACTAAATGGCTCATCCGACACCAACATCAAATTTTGGAGTCGAATTTGGCGCTTTTTTTCCCAAAACAGTGAATTTCAACATCTGTTCCTTCTTTCTATACATAATTAACATATTTACCTACTCCGAAGATTTCACACAAAATCAAAAGATTTAGCAGTACATTTTTTCACTCATTGTAGTGTTAACTAAATATGTATACTGGGCTACCGATTCAATCAATGATTTTTAGGTATTTCTTCAGTCAAATTCTCATATATTGCTCGGGTATACTGATTGTTTGCCCAATCGTTACACATAGGGCATATATAAATGGCAACATAGCAAGTGAGAATGTTTTCGGGTATCGTATACGTTTCCGACAGTGCTGCCAGGTCGAAAATGAGATAAGCGGTTGGCTCAACATAAAGAGCGGTAATGATTGAAAAATTGAACGATAGAGGGTTTGAAAACCGAAGTGTTTGCCAACTATTAGTGGTTTACTATAGTTACGTAATCAGGTACGTAAAACAGATGTAAAAGAGGGAAATCGAACAATCATCAGTTCTGTAATCATGAAGCTCCAAAAAAGATAACTCTGACGAATATTTTGTATAAAATTTTGTTGTAGTCACGAATATTAGGTAACGTATAAATAAATCAAAAGATTGAATGAAAATTGCAGCGGTAGATATTGAGGCTCTGTGGTAGATCAGTAATTCACACTATAAAAACAGTAGATCTACTGCAAAAACGTTAGACCTGGCAACAATGGCCACCACAGTGAAACACAATCGCTATTCTTCGTAACTGCCATGTTGCCAAATGCAATCCTTCTTCAATACTCAATATGTCACAATTCGATATTCGTATATAGGTAGGTACTTCGAGATAGTATTGCAATTATTTTTTTATCTCTTGGAGCGCGATAAATGAAAGTCCTATAATATTCGAAGAACATCGTGCGTACCTTGGAACGATGGGGAGAGGAGGTGGTTGTTGGAATTTTTTAAAACTTCTGGAGGTTATAAGTTCTTGTGAATACTTCCAATGACAAGGAATTCTAAAGCTTTGCCGTTGTTTAGACGAACAAGTTTTGATGAGGTGTATTGTTCGACATATTTCAAAGTTGACAACGAACAGATGTGCTGACTGAGCCTGTCGAGTTCGTCTGACTGGTATTGCTAGTGATGGTATATATGATAGCAGCGGAAATAGCAGAGACTTCTGAGGAAAATTTCCTGTGGTAGTTTTTATTGGAAAGTAAGAGGTCGCCGACTTTTCTACGGTGTTCTTATGGCCAATGGATTAGTATGAGTACGATATCATCCACCATTCCACCAGGCGGATGACTCGTCTCTGGATGGAATCTAAGAGCATCAGCGTATGTTTGGGTGCTGGGTGGGAACAGTATTCTGAGACTGGCCGTATCTATGCTTTGTAGATTGCCGATCATGAGCAGCTGTGAAGTAGATTTTGTGAAGCAGCTTTTGTGATGGATCGGTATGATTTTCCCATGAAAGAGTATTGCCGATGGAAATATCTGGCATAATTATAGTGGTCTTGGTGGGAATGGTGTGGTACCAGACATTGTTATATCAGGGATACTGAGTTCCGCCTTTCTAGAGAAAATACATCAGGCTTGAGCTTTGGTGGCATTGAATTCAGCTAGGTTTTTGTTTTCCCAGGCTTTAATTTCAGCTAGACCTTCATTGGGTCATTGACAGCGTTGACCTGCCAAAGTCGTGAGTTCTTAGTTACTTGGGAAGAAATAGAAATTCTAGAAGAGAACGCAGTATGGATCATTGATATATGAACAAATGTTGGTCCTTATGGAACTCCGTCCACCACCACATAGAGATAAACTCGATAAAAGATGGCATAGCTGAGGTGGTAATCCGTATGATGGTTGTTTGTGGAGGAGTCTATGGTGCCAAACACGGTTTTCGATATGCCACAGCTAGGCTAGCTAGATATTCTTCATGTTTTTCTAATGAAGCTTGGCATATATGGGTGACATAGGCAAGTAAATCTCCAGATCTTCGGTAGCGAAAGCCATATATTATATTGTCTATCGTTATAATGATTCCTGAGCTTTCCAGATATTCGATGAGCTCAATGTTAATGGCTTTCTACATCATTTCGGAGATGACTGATAACAGTGCAATCAACAGTTGTCGATCAGGCTTCTGTTTTCTGTTTTTCGGATTGGTTGTACTCGAGCTATTTTCTAGGAAGATGGAAAATATCCGACTTGTACGAGATGGGGATCGAATAGCTTGCAGAGAATCGATGTCAATTTTGATATATACACTTTTTGGGAAATTGGTGGAATTCCGTTAGTCTCATTCGTTTTGAGAACGAGCAGAATGCGTCTGACAGTTCGTTGACGAAAGACGATTTCGGTCATTCTACCACAGCATTTGACTTATTTCAACGGGTGGAATGTCTGGCGGCATCACTCATTCCTGGGAATCTGAGGTGAAGTTTGCTGCGAACATTCCTCATTAATCCTCGCATTAATCCCTTTAGTTATTCGAAAATGTTTTTTTTCATCAGAATCATTATATATTGCAATAATGTTCTTCCTAGCAATTTTTTGTGATAATAACTAATTGTGGACCAAAGGGTGAAACCGCATATCGATATCTGTCTTCGTTTCGGAGTTACAAGGTGTTCTTCGAAAATGGGCATTTTTGAAAAGAAGCTACAAATTTTTTATTTGCAGAAATCTTCTTCTCTTGAGAATAACTGCAAAGCATTGAGTTTGTGATAACAATCATTCCAGAGGCGCTGAAATCGGCCTTCCTATATCATGTTCAACAATATAACTTGTTCTTCTTCTAGAAAAAGTTCTATTTTGAAACTATATGTATATAGTGACCGATGTCAGTGCCTGAGGGTCAATTTTCATGTCCAACACAATGCGTTGAAAATGTTCATATGGAAACGAAGAATTTTCGACAAAAACTGAGTTTCAGTCACTTTTCGATAATTCATATTTCCGAAAGATACCTTGTAACTCTGAAGCGAAGATAGATATCAATATGCAGTTTTCACCATTGAGCTTGCCATGTGAATTGATCAACAGGCACCAACATCAGTTTTTTCCTATCAAGTACGGGAATAGGACTTTCCCTTTAAAAGTGTCCACTTTGGCCCACCCTGTATATAGCAGGAGTTTTTTTTTGACAATTTCAGTTGACAGTAGTGAACTATGTTTTCATAATCATCAAAAGACAAATTTCTATATGTCCGGAAAAGGCCAATGCCTCTCATATTTCGATGTGCGTATTTTCCTATGGGTCAAGCACACTAGTACCTATGCCAACGCCCTGTATGTCATTCTGAAAGATGCCTTTAGCGAAATCGTCAGGAAATGAGTCACGAGATTTTCCCACACATACCGATCTCGTTCATGTCTATCGAACAATTAGAAAAATTTACATACAGTGTGACCCATTTAAGATGGAAGCACCCTTATAAAACTTACATTTTTCAACCGATTGGAATGATTTTTTTT